ACCATATAGCATATATTCAACACAAAAAACAGCGACCATTTGTTGTTGACAAAGGGCAGCTGGACATATAAAGGGCCCCATTACCTTCAGTAACTTGGGAGCCTCATCAAACCTAAATCTGGCCCTGACCTCCACCAAGACCACTTTGAAGGGCTTGGGTCTGCCTGCGTACTAGGGCTTGAGTTCCATGCTCCCCAATGTTTGGGTTTCCCCAGTCCAAAGTTCATGCAGGAGGTGCCTAAGAGGGATGACAGACAAGCTCTGCCTTGAGAGACATGTATTACCGTATTTTTCGCTCTATAAGACGCACCAGACCACAAGACACACCTAGTTTTTGGAGGAGGAAAACAAGAAAAAAAATATTCTTTTTTTTTTAAATGATATTTATTAAGAATTTTTAGAGTTACAAAAAAGAAACAAAAAAGAAAAAGAAAGAGAAAAAACAAAGGAAAAACAAGCCACAATCAAGCAATACAAATTAATAAAAATCAGAATCAAAAAATAACACATCACGATCAAAAGACAAAAATGTGCCACAAACATTTAAAAACAAATCCAATATTCTCAAATCCTTAATTGTCATTACCTTCTTTCTTTGACCTCCTCACCCCTCCCTTTTTTTGTATCCTAGTTATTAATTGTCGCAGCAAATCCTTTCCATATTTCATAATATTCTGTCATTACATTACCTTAATCTATTTTAATCTTATCTTACTATAAAAAACCTTAAAATTTAAAACTTAGATCTTATTTATACCAATTTCTCATAACCATAATATTCTTACATAATTCTTTAAACATTTTTGCTAAAGCCAAATAATTTCGTTCCAACATTTTTCTAACGTTCATCAATTTTATAAAACAATCCTAATAAAAAAAAAATTTTTTTCTTCCAATCTTCAACCAGCGTCTCTTCCTCCTGGTCCCGGGTTTTGTCAGTCCTTTCTATCTCATCAATATAGCGCATTAACCTGGTAATCTTATGTCCGAGGCCCTTAAGTCCCTTCCATGTCCCTTCCATGGCTCTTCTTCATATTTATACCTGTACTTTACTTTGTCTCCTGCTCCTTTCACTCGTGGGAACTCCAACTTAACAATGTTTTTGACCCTTCTCGACAAATCAGCCCCTTTTCCATAGTCCACACTAAACTCCATGTGGTATTTAAAAACATGTTTCGAAGTCCCTCCAAAATTGAGAGCCCCCACAACCCCAAACATCTCACGGCCCATTGCCAGACTTGAAAAGTCCAAACATCTCTGCATAGGGGGGTCTATCCAACCCCCCATTTCCAAACCAAACCAAACTTTATCTTTCCAAATCTGGCTTTTTCCAAGTTCATTTGTCAAATCCAAGAACTCATGTTCCTGCTGGGCCACAGCTCCCTCCATCTCTGGCGCCCAAGGTTCAGCAACATCCTCTCTCATCTGTTCTGTCAGAGCACACTCCTGATTTGAATCCTGGGTGGGCTCTATATAATTTCCCACTGCCTGTCCAAAATTTCTGATCGCATCAGTCATCAAGTCCGTCTTCTCATGTAGCTGTTCCAGTAGGGCACTTGTTTTACAGAAAGCACGCAGCAGAGCTTCTGAATACATTGTTCTGCAAGGTCAGAAGGCTATTCCCACGATCGTAATCTGTAGCAGCTGCAAGCTCCCTGATTCAGAATTTGAAACTGTTTCACAGGCTCCCTCTAGGGGAAGAACTTCTTTTTGTTCTTTTCTTTTAAAGGCAGATCTGACAACAAAGTTTCCTTTTTCAGATATTTTGTCAATATTTGTTCCTTTAAAATGCGAAAAGGAACAGTGGAACCACTATGTTTCTCTTCTTTTAACTATCTGTCAAAAACGTTTGCTCTGGCCAATGAGCTTCCCAAAGAACATCAGTCCTGACACCCTGCTCCAGGATCAAGACAGTGGAAAGTTACTTTGCTTTACACTCTCTTCTGCAGGTTTAAACAGTCCGGAAAAAATCCCTCCTCTTCTCCTGCTTCCGAAGGGGGTTCAACAATTTTAAATGGTGGAAGTTAATCCTTTACAAGTGATTTTCTGAACTCTAGTTTGCCATGTCTTTGCTTTGATCTATCCACAAAGAAACGGAAGGCTGACTTCCTGTTTAGACCTTCCCGTTTCAGTGCCAAATTAAAGTAAATTTTTAAGTCCAATTTTCCTTTCTACTCACAAATCAATATTTAGAGTCCAATTGTCCGAGATTTAAGTACTCACGGGTGATTATTTTAAAAGCCAAATTGTCCCAGGAAAAAGGCAGCGCTCTCCGGCAACGGCTGTGCGGCTTCGCTCCACGGAAGAAGCAGTTGACTCTCAGTACCGCGCCACTTCCCCCTCTTCGCTCCGGAGCCCGTTAGTGGGTTCCTTTGCGGGTTGGGGGGGCGCTAAAGGTGCCCGCCGTGTCCCATGGTCACAGGCTTCATCCGCCTGTGATTTTTGAAAGGGTCCCCGCTTCGCCGTAGCGGGAAAGACCCGTTTCCCATGGAGCTGGTCCCTCCAGATCAGAGGGAGTCCGCCATTACCGATGGCGCCACCCCGGAAGTCTCTGCCCAGTAAGAAAAAAAATATTCTGAATCTCAGAAGCCAGAACAGCAAGAGGAATCGCTGCACAGTGAAAGCAGCAATCCCTCTTGCTGTTCTGGCTTCTGGGATAGCTGCGCAGCCTGCATTCGCTCCATAAGACGCACACACATTTCCCCTTACTTTTTAGGAGGGAAAAAGTGAGTCTTATAGAGCAAAAAATACGGTATATTGAGGAGGAGAACTGCTTTATACGGTATGTAGGAAGACCCACATTTTTCTTCAGTGCGTGGCTGCAGGCTATTCAGAACAACCCACAGAAAGGCAGAGACAATTTAATTAAATATTGAAATGTGAGGTCAGGTTATTAAAACAATTCTGCCATTTTTAGGAATAAGCTTGCCTTTGGTACCTTGCCGCAGGCTGTTCTGCTGCGTTAATTCTGGGAGTTCCACTTTTGCCGGCCCATGTCTTGCTCTTGCCAGGCAAATTCACGAGGGAAGCAAATATGCAAATTGGGTGTCTTTGCGGACTCATCTGGGATTCGAAGCAACAAACACTTTCATGCAAAACCAGAATGGAACCCCTGAAGTCATGAGCCCGACTGCCTTTGAATCTCCATTCCTTTGATCGCAACAATTGCCAATTGCCACAGCTCTGATTTCCATAGAGATCTTTGCTTGCTGCTGGGAAATGAATGAGAGCACAGGGACTGCACACAGAGAAAGGAATGGCTCAGCATTCTGACAGCGGCTGGCCAGATGCCACAGGGAAAGTCTCAGGCGTGAAAAGGTGGCAGTATCCAGACCTTCCCGTTTGCTGGTCCCCACATCTGACTGCTCATCGTCTCTACCCTGGGAGAGCCAAGCAGTCTTCCCCAATATGATACCCTCCAGATATTTTAAACCAGCTGCCCTCCAGGGCTGTGCTTGCTGGGAAAGATGGAGGTTATAGTCCAAAACATCTGGAGGGCACCAAGTTGGAGAAGGCCAGTTTGGAGCCTTTGATGCATCTGTTATCCAAGACTCATTGAATCTAGATTCAGGTAGGTAGCCATGTTGGTCTGATGCAGTCAAAATAAATAAATTAATTAAAAAATGGTCCAGTGGCACCTTAGAGACCAACTAAGTTTGGGTATAAGCTTTCGTGTGCATGGTATCTGAAGAAGTGAGCTTGCACACGAAAGCTTATACCCAGAACAGACTTAGCTGGTCTCTCAGGTGCTACTGGTCGATTTTTTGACTTTTTCATTGGATCTAGTAAACCCCACGAAGTGTCTCTGTGAGCACATTGGCCATGCTAGCTGGCAGCCAGCACCCCAGAAGTTTTCAAGATGCCAACAGGATTGACAAAAGCTTCTGTGATCTCCCAGCTTTGGAGGAGGAGGAGTTTGGATTTGATATCCCGCTTTATCACTACCGAAAGGAGTCTCAAAGCGGCTAACATTCTCCTTTCCCTTCCTCCCCCACAACAAACACTCTGTGAGGTGAGTGGGGCTGAGAGACTTCAGAGAAGTGTGACCGGCCCAAGGTCACCCAGCAGCTGCATGTGGAGGAGCGGAGACGCGAACCCGGTTCACCAGATTACGAATCTACGGCTCTTAACCACTACACCACACTGGCTCTCTAGTGCCTAAATGAATGGAAAATGTGATGTTTACTGGTGAGGGATTAGCTCAGATCCCCACCGGATGGGATGCAGGTTCTCGATACATCCTCTCATGTCTTTTCTTTGGTTTATTTCAGATCTGAATGGATGTCTCCCAGAAAGCGATGGCTGAGCAGAACCCTTGCTTGGAAATGCAAGTCTTGGATCCTGCTCCAAATAAATTTGGGTCAGGAGGAGCAGAACGAGTCGCAGGAGAAAGGATACCCTGGGAAATGTCTGTGCTGGTCCTGCCTGTGGCTCTGGAAGAGTCTGAGCCAGCTGAGGAGTAACATTTTCCCCTTTTACACTGATACGGCTGTCCGATAGTTTCTCTAATTGTTGAGGATCTGAACAAGTTGCTGCCAGGAGGCCCATAAGAAAGATTGCCCAGTGTGGGGCTCCTCTTACCCCCAAGAAAGAAATTAGTAGTGAAAAGCTGGAGAGGATTGAGAGTGGGAAGGGGCGGAAGGGGGAAGAAAGGAAAGGTTGGTGCTTTCAGGGGTACTGAGAATAGTCCTGGGCAGAAGGCAATTCCAGTAGGGGGCAGCGAAGGATTTGCTTGAGGTCATTCCATGAAGGAACCTCCACCCATCCATTGCAAAGCCTTTAGGAGCAATGATTGTGTCAAGGGAGCTGTGTTTCTGGGCTACTGGAGCCTGAGGACATCACATGAAGTCTCTGGTCCATCTGCCATTGCTTTGCTGGAACTTCTTCTGCGGCAGAGGACTTCTGCTGCCCGCCTCGTGACACTCCATCAGAGATGAGCGTAGGCCTGCCTTTGTAGCAAGGAGGCCCGAGGGAAGAGTGGGCGCTTCCATCGTCTCACCATGGTGCTTCCACCCCCGGACAAGCGGCATGTGTGTCTCACCACTATTGTTATAATGACCAGCATGGCATTCATGGATGCTTATCTAGTGGAGCAGAATCAGGGGCCCCGTAAGATTGGCGTCTGCATCATCGTCCTGGTAGGAGACATCTGCTTTCTGATTGTGCTGCGCTACGTGGCTGTCTGGGTGGGGGCTGAGGTCAAAACGGCCAAGCGTGGCTATGCTATGATTCTGTGGTTCCTCTACATCTTTGTACTGGAAATCAAACTCTACTTTATATTCCAGAACTACAAGGCTGATAAGAGAAACCTGGAGACAGTGGCCAGGAAGGCACTGACCTTGCTGCTCTCCATCTGCGTGCCAGGACTATACTTGGTGCTCGTGGCTTTGGACAGCATGGAATACATCCGCACTTTTCGGAAGAAAGAGGACTTGCGAGGAAGGCTCTTCTGGGTAGCCTTAGACCTCCTGGATATCTTGGACATTCAAGCCAATCTGTGGGAGCCACACAAGACGGGGCTGCCCATCTGGGCAGAAGGTCTCATGTTCTTCTACTGCTACATTCTTCTCCTGATCCTCCCTTGTGTGTCGCTCAGCGAGATCAGCATGCAAGGCGAGCACATTGCTCCGCAGAAAATGATGCTCTACCCTGTCCTGAGCCTGGTGACCATCAACGTCGTCACCATCTTCATCCGCGCCATCAACATGGTGTTGTTCCAAGACAGCAGAGTCTCCACCATCTTCATCGGCAAGAACATCATCGCCATCGCCACCAAGGCCTGCACGTTCCTCGAATACAAGAAGCAGGTGAAGGAGTTTCCCCAAAACGCCATTGCGCTTGAGCTGCAGCAGAACTCGGTGCCCCACAACCAGACGGTCCACAGTTCGCAGGGCATTGGCCACGAGCAGTCGCCCACCAGGGAGATCTTGGACACATGACAGGGCTCCTTGGGCGTTGGCGCTCGCTCACCTTCCCTTGGCAGAGTGGGAGAGGGGGATTGTGCTCTCACCCCAGCACCCAGAGCTGCCCCCACCCCCGGCACAAGGTTCTGATCAAAGTGGTGGGACACCCCATGCATCTCAGGTATTTCCTTGGGGCCCTCTAGAAAGAAAACAAAACCAAATGGACCTCCGGAGAAGAACTCTGCCCCAGTCAGCATCTGATCTTTTCTATCTGTTTGTTACCTGTGCATCACAACATGACGGGAATGAGGATTTTTGTTATCACAGTCTTTTCTAAGGAAGGGAAGGGGAGGGCGGGGAGGGGCGGGAGAATCGGGCCTTGCACTTTTATCAGTGTCCCTGTAAACATGGGTGTCTTATTTAAAATGGCTGTGTTTACAGTTTCTTATTTTTAAGATGAAAAAGCCACACCCGTTTCATCATGGCTGGGAACTCCAGCAGAGTCCGGACAGTTTTATAACATCCGGCGGCAGCTCCTGGTTCTGTTCAGCTGCTCACAGCAGCCATGCCGTTCTCTTCAGGCGTAGGTGCAAAAGTTGAGGCATGGCAACTCGCTGGGACCTCCAACGTGGCCAAAGTGCTAAGGCAGCCATGCCAGGAACAGCGTTTGACAGCCAACGGAATGCTTTGTAAGGGTCATTCTGATGCTTTGTCAAATAATTCAGCACAAGGTTCCTGGGTTTATTTTATTTTGGGGTTGGGGGTTGGGGTGTAGGACGATTTTCTCATTTTCCAACTCTCAGTCCTGGTGGCTTGATTTTTCCGGGGGGGGGGTGCCAGAGGGGTTCAGGGTGAGGAGAGTGGCCTGATGGGGCTACAAGTGGAAGCTGCAACCCTAAGGATGATGCAGGTTCATTTTTATTCTAGCAGCAGCAGCAGCGGCAGCTGAATTTAAAACAGGGCTGCTTTTGTATAAACCACACAGTCTTTCTCTAGGCGAGAGCAGGAGCCGGTCCCTCTGTGCAGGTCAGAGGAGCAGCAGTCAGATCCAGCAGAGGATGGGCAGCAGTCGGATCCAAGCACCATGAAAACGCTACCAAGAATGGAGGCCCCAACCAAGCCAAAATAAGGTCTTGCAGTGTCTCTGTCCCGCTTTGAAGCTGCTAGCAGCAAATAAGGCTGACATCCAAGCAGGGGCGTGTCCCAGTGACCCCTCCCTTATCGGTGATCTTTTCTCCTATTTCCACACAAAGCTCTGGCTTCTCCTGGGCAGCCTCGCAGTGTCTGGGGGCAGCTGCTCCCATTGCATGTGTCATACACTATGCGCCGTACACCTCTCTGCCCCCTTCAGCCACTTGCCCCATTCGCTGCACAGGTGAAGGGGTCCCATTTGGCAGCCTGCTGCCATAGCCCAAGCGGTCAAGTTCCAAATTGTGCTGAGGTTGCCACCAGCCCGTGTTTTCATTGTACATTTTGATACCTCGGCCTGGGTGTCAGAACAGAATACATCAGTTCCCTTATGCAAACCAACAATGGGATGCCTCTCTGAGGAGGTGGGCCTTGGTGCAAAAGGAAGGGGGCTGGCAAACCCCACGGGCTGCCATTTCTTCCTCTAACCCCCCCCCCCAACCGGGCAAGCAACACCCAGCCATTGTGTTCCATGCCTCCATGCGGATGGCAGAGGAGGAGGAGGAGGAGCCCGAGGCTCAGCGGCAGAGGAAAGGTTTGAGCTTTCTGACCCATGGAATTGTCGCTCCGCCAAGTAATGGCGGGGAGAGATATGAGGAGATGGAAACAGAGGGTGAGCAGAGACGGGGTGTGTCTGGGAAAATGTGGGTGACTCAAGGGGGTCTGCGCTGTGGAGTTTTGCTTTGCAAGGTGTTGTGTCTGGGAGCAGCAGCCTCTTGGGCCCTGAAACCCTCCCCTGCCCCCAGGGGGGCCTTCTTTGCATATCCACCACTCCTACGAAGCCGCTACTCTCAGGCCATAACAGCAGGGTGTGTGTTTTGGAGTCATCCAGCTGCAGCCATCCCAAAAAGGAAGTAAGAAAGATGCTGAGCTCACCCAACAAGAGGGTACTCTCAGATAATGTTGTCACTTGCCTGGGGAGCGACACAATTCCCAGGGAAAGTTTGGCCCCTGGACAGGACTCTGTTTTTATTTTGTTTGAAGACGGTTCTGTTTTTATGTAATAAAGGGTTCTGGACACCCAGCGGGCAGCTGCTTTCACTATCTGTGTGTCTTATTTGCCAACCCTTCAATTTCATCCCTGCTCTTCTCCAGAAGTCTGCACAACATCTGCAAAAACCTGTACAGGAAGTCCATCTCTGTAGGATCCTCCTCCCGGTCTTTCTCAGGAGACCAACTACTCAGTTTCATGCAGCCAAGTTATGGCAGAGAACCCCTCCAGCTGATATTCTTCCCCAAACCTATCCTACTACCTTGCAGCCCCCGTTGCAGAACTAGGACCAGCTGATTTTGTACCTCTGCATGCAGGAAGGTAAGGTTAAGGAGAAAAGGAGCCCACTTCCTAGGAGCGGACCGGCACATCCCCAGGCAGTCTGCCAGGAAGGCTGACAGCTGCTCTTGCTGTCACCTGATGGGTTTTCACTTTTGTGACTGGACATGGATCCTTATTTTTGTGGGAATGTTCAGGGATGCAGGAGAGGATATATTGTCTAATTATATCCTTATCCAACTTGTGTTAACAAGTTTCCAAAATATCAGCAGAGTAAAACATTCCCCTTTATTTAAGTTTGCAATGGCAGCGTTGGCTCAGGCTCACTTAAGCCTCTATAATAACTATACTGGTAAAAAGGTAAAGGTACCCCTGCCCATACGGGCCAGTCTTGACAGACTCCAGGGTTGTGCGCTCATCTCACTCTATAGGCCGGGAGCCAGCGCTGTCCGCAGACACTTCTAGGTCACGTGGCCAGCGTGACGAAGCTGCTCTGGCGAGCCAGCACCAGCACCGCACACGGAAACGCCGTTTACCTTCCCGCTATAAAGCGGTACCTATTTATCTACTTGCACTTAAGGGTGCTTTCGAACTGCTAGGTGGGCAGGAGCTGGGACCGAACGACGGGAGCTCACCCCGCCGCGGGGATTCGAACCGCCGACCATGCGATTGGCAAGTCCTAGGCACTGAGGTTTTACCCACAGCACCACCCGCGTCCAACTATACTGGTAATTTCCCCTTATTCCCTCATAAAATACAAGAGACGACACAGTCTTTTACAAAAGTATAAAAAGAGTTTACTTACACTCTGTTAACAGTCAGATCCCAGAAGGCAGACTTAAGCTTAGTGAAGTAATATACATTTTGTTGCCTATCTTATAAGAAGATAGTCCCTTTGTCCTCTCTTGGCTGGGAGCCAAGAGGGCATCTTTCACTCAGGAGATGTTCCTTCGATGCATGTGGTGAAAGAGAGAGAGATGGCTGCCCTGTCCTGTGGTTTTATCATTACCTGCACAGGTGAGGCCACACCCACCTCCAGTCACATGCGGAGGAAGTCCAGTCAAAGGTAACTATAGGGTTCTGGCGTTCATCTCGCTTTCAGGCCGAGGGAGCCGGCATTTGTCCATAGACAGCTTTCCGGGTCATGGAGCCAGCAGGACTAAACCACTTCTGGTGCAACGGGACACTGTGACGGAAACCAGAGCGCACGGAAACACTGTTTACCTTCCCACCACAGCGGTACCTACTTGCACTGGTTTGCTTTTGAACTGCTAGGTCGACAGGAGCTGGGACAAACAACGGGAGCTCACTCAGTCACAGGGATTCGATCCACCGACCTTCTGATAGGCAAACCCAGTGGTTTAGACCACAGTGCCATCCACTTCATATGCTCCTCTATCTCCCCCCGGTCCAGGGGCAGCCCATCCCATTTCACCTCCTGAGGTGAAAGGGGAAGGTAATGGCTAGCCCCTCCACCAAAGCCTCTCTCACCAGGGCATCTGGTAAAATGTCCCGGAGCACTCCTTCATATGACCGGAAACTGCTGCCGCTGTGCAACCCCAGCAGCAATGAGTGGGGCATCCACAGGGGCACTGCCCCACAGGATTCCCTCGCCCAAAGTGGCTGCTTCAGTCTGCCTTGGGGGCAGCCTGGCTCTGGCCCCAAGGCCTACTCTTCTGGCTCAGGAAGGGGCAGAGAGCAGGTGCCCTGAGCCTGTGGAAGTGCTCCAACAGGGTCTTCACTAAAGCCATTTAGGAGGCATGTAAGGTCAAGGTAAAGGATCCCTGGACAGTTAAGTCCAGTCAAAGGCGACTATGGGGTTGTGGTGCTCATCTCGCTTTCAGGCCGAGGGAGCTGGCGTTTGTCCACAGACAGCTGTCCGGGTCATGTGGCCAGCAGGACTAAACCGCTTCTGGTGCACGGAAACCAGAGCGCATGGAAACGCCGTTTCCCTTCCTGCCACAGCGGTACCTATTTATCTACTTGCACTGGTATGCTTTTCAACTGTTAGGTTGGCAGAAGCTGGGACAGAGCAACGGAAGCTCACCCCATCTTGGGGTTTTGAACCGCCAACCTTCTAATCGGCAAGCCCAAGAGGCTCAGTGGTTTAGACTATGGTTACCAGATTTTTTTCAATGAATCCAGGGACACTTTTTTAAAAAAAAAGCTGAGTAGCAACAGGGAGTCAGTAGTTGGGGTGATGAGGCAAAAGGCCCAGGGCCCAAGCACACATGCATATTGTATAAAGGTGCAAAGCCCTTCTTTTGCACCCTGTGAAACATAAATGCACAGAGTTTTTTAAAAACTGGGCAACGGCAGCTCGGCCACAATCCTGAGCCTCCCCCGATCAGTCAAAACAAGGGGGGAAGGGGGCAGGAGATCTGTACCTCTGGACATCCCCGGTTCCCCTTTGGCAATGGCAGTCAGCAGCCCGGAGCCTGCCTGGTAGCGCAGTGGGCTCTGGCTGGCTTCAGGAGCTGCTCGCCACTCGCTGCCGTGGCACCCGCCATTTTTCCTCACTGGAAGTCCCCATATGATGTGTTGCCCACAAGACACATCATATGGGGACTTCCATCGA